GCAGGAATTCAACAGACCTAAGCCTGGGGACTCTGCAAGTCCTGACTTGGTACAGAAAGAACCATTCATTCTATCCCTTCAGTCAGATTTCTGCCTCACGCCGTAATGTAATCTCAAAGCTCATCTTAGTGATCCCTGGAGTTTTTATTGTGTAAAACACATGCTACTACTGTCTTGTCAACGGAAATAATCAACTTCGTAGAAGTAATAATTAATGCAGTTTATTACTAAGCACGAATTTGAGTGACTGGCCTGGAGAAATGCAAGTGTGTTTTTTCTTAAGGAGCTGAGATACAGTGGTTCTTTTTATATCATTTGAGGGCAGGAGAGTTGTCAATCAGCATTAGGAGTCTTTCGTATTGGTCTGGTCCCCAAAAGTGGGACATCTGGTAGTGGAGGCTTGTAGGGTATAGGTGAGTTTGAATTTCTTAGACTAGAGATTAGCGGTTGATTAAAGAAAATCACAAGTCTCCGTTCCTGAAAGAAACCAGTAGAAGAATGTCTGTGCTTCACTCAAAGAAAGAAGACTTGCTGTGCATCCTAAAACACCATGGCTGGTACAGGATGTAGCACCTCTCTACCAATGGCCTCTTAGTGTTTGCAGCATGACTCTCTCGGGCTGCCTTGGGAACAACTCTGGAATAAGAAAAAGTAGTCAAAACCTTGTCCTCAGTGGAAAGCCCTCTGGCCCTTTCCTAAGGCCAGTGCAAGCCGTTACTAGGTGGGCTTTGCAAGATGTTCACTCCCTCCCGTACCATCTCCTCTTTTTTCCTGTCCCCTCAGCTTTGTTGTTAATGATATTTGCTTTAAGACCTCTTTGCTGAGTGTTTTTTTTTTGGAGAGATTTTCACTGTAGGGCGCGTGCGCTCGCCAGACAGACAGAGAGAGACATAGAGACAGAAAGCGAGAAATCACCCCCCAGGGGGGATGGTCACGCCGCAATCCCTTCTCCTCCATTCTCCTCTCGGGATCTTGGGCACGCACGCACACGCGCCCGGCGTGAGTTTTAAGCCACTGGGTCCGGGACACGAACCGCGGTTGACTACGTGGGAGTCCAGCGACATAGCCATTACACTAACTGCTGGTTCCGGCAGGAATTCAACAGACCTAAGCCTGGGGACTCTGCAAGTCCTGACTTGGTACAGAAAGAACCATTCATTCTATCCCTTCAGTCAGATTTCTGCCTCACGCCGTAATGTAATCTCAAAGCTCATCTTAGTGATCCCTGGAGTTTTTATTGTGTAAAACACATGCTACTACTGTCTTGTCAACGGAAATAATCAACTTCGTAGAAGTAATAATTAATGCAGTTTATTACTAAGCACGAATTTGAGTGACTGGCCTGGAGAAATGCAAGTGTGTTTTTTCTTAAGGAGCTGAGATACAGTGGTTCTTTTTATATCATTTGAGGGCAGGAGAGTTGTCAATCAGCATTAGGAGTCTTTCGTATTGGTCTGGTCCCCAAAAGTGGGACATCTGGTAGTGGAGGCTTGTAGGGTATAGGTGAGTTTGAATTTCTTAGACTAGAGATTAGCGGTTGATTAAAGAAAATCACAAGTCTCCGTTCCTGAAAGAAACCAGTAGAAGAATGTCTGTGCTTCACTCAAAGAAAGAAGACTTGCTGTGCATCCTAAAACACCATGGCTGGTACAGGATGTAGCACCTCTCTACCAATGGCCTCTTAGTGTTTGCAGCATGACTCTCTCGGGCTGCCTTGGGAACAACTCTGGAATAAGAAAAAGTAGTCAAAACCTTGTCCTCAGTGGAAAGCCCTCTGGCCCTTTCCTAAGGCCAGTGCAAGCCGTTACTAGGTGGGCTTTGCAAGATGTTCACTCCCTCCCGTACCATCTCCTCTTTTTTCCTGTCCCCTCAGCTTTGTTGTTAATGATATTTGCTTTAAGACCTCTTTGCTGAGTGTTTTTTTTTTGGAGAGATTTTCACTGTAGGGCGCGTGCGCTCGCCAGACAGACAGAGAGAGACATAGAGACAGAAAGCGAGAAATCACCCCCCAGGGGGGATGGTCACGCCGCAATCCCTTCTCCTCCATTCTCCTCTCGGGATCTTGGGCACGCACGCACACGCGCCCGGCGTGAGTTTTAAGCCACTGGGTCCGGGACACGAACCGCGGTTGACTACGTGGGAGTCCAGCGACATAGCCATTACGCTAACTGCTGGTTCCCTGCTGAGTATTGTTAGACCCGTGTTTTGCCGCAGGCTAAAGGACACCAATAACACCATACGTATTGACCACTGGAAGCACAAGGCAGTGTGCTGGTACCACCAGGAACACAATGGCAAGCACAAATAGGCTGGCAAGCCCAGATATGGTTGAAAAGGCAACGCTACCTACTTTCCTCTAAAAACAGGAACTCCAAGAATCCTGTCCAGAGGCCTCTATGTCCAAGAAGAAGAGAAGCTGGAGAGGGGCCAGCAGGTGGCATAGTGGCTAAGGTGCTGGATTCCCACATGGCCACTTACTGTTTGAGTCTCAGACGTGGTGGCTTTAAAATCACACCAGGCACACATGTGTATGTGCCCAATATCCCAGGAGGAGAATAGAGGAGAAGGGATTGCAGCGTGGCCATCCTCCCTAGGGGGTGACTTCTCACTTTCCTTCTCACTGTCTCTCTCTGACCAGCACATATACCCTATGGCAAAAAAAGCTTTAAAAAAAAGAGAGCAAGAGAGAGAAGTTGGAGAATGGGCAGAACAGGAAGAAAACTGGAAGAGAAGGGAAGAAGGAGAAAAGGGGTCTGGAGACTGAGAGAAAGGCTAAAGCGAGGGGTGGAGAAGGTAGGCCCTATCTTTCAGTAAGGGTATGAATAAGTAAAGTCAGTGGTAGAGAAGAAACTGTTTTCCAGGCCTTTTAGAAACTGAGAAAGGACAGGAAGCGGCCAGAACCACTGCCTCGCTATCCCAGTAGGGGGTGGTTTTTAAAGGAGTGATTTCAGCTCATCCCTGCCCTCCCTGGATGAGCATTGCAAAGGCTCCCAGCTGCGCTCCTCTTTCTCCTATACTAGAAATTTCTCACCCAGGAGAGGCTCAAAGGCAAAGGCCTCCCAGAGCTTGCTGGACACATTTGCAAAAGAACTAGGGCCCGCTCCTTTAAACAGCTATGCGGGGTTGAATGTAGAGGCCTCAGGATTCACAAGGAGCATTTCCAAGACAGGCCTTCTGTACTAAATGTCTCTTTTGCTAAGAGGTTCTTTGTTATGAACACACACAGTAGGGGGTACTGTAGCCCTGGCCTGGTGTATTAGTCAGGGATAAGCGTTCTCAGGGTCATCCTTGCTGCTCACACTTCCCCTCGCTGTTGTACCTGCCTGACTACTACCATGCTCTGCGGGTTCAACAGTGGAGGCAGCTCTGAGGCTTGATGTCTGGCCAGCCCAGCTCCTCACCTTCGGTCGGGCCCAGGGCAGATCTTTGGAGCTCAATGGCTGTAGTGGACCCAGAGAGGAACCCTGGCCACCAACAGGACATGCACAGGTCTTAGAGTCTCTTTCGAGAAAGGAGTTTTCATCCATAAATAGTCATTCAGAAGACAGGGAAATGCCTTGACCTCTTTCCCGGGAACCCGGGGTCTTGGTCTCATCAGTTTCTTGAGGACTTACGGATACTCTGGGAAGGTATCCAAGAGCAGTCTAAGAGAGGGACTGAAGAGAAGGAAATGCCAGTCTGGTGGGATCAAGGACTTGGGATCTGGAATGATAAATAAAGGCTCAAGAACCAAGAGGGTGACTGTGCTGGGCAGGGCCCTCCCAGCCCTCCTTTCCTCTCCTCCCCTCTGCCACAGCCCCCAGTCTACCTCCGGGATCGCTGTGCAGGCCTCCTCATCACTCTCCATGGTGCACGTAAGTCCTAAGCACCACGGCGACCGTCTCCATGGCTCCCCATTGTCTAAGGACTCAAGTCCTCAGTGCAGCCCAGTCCCACTCCCCAGCCCTGGCCTCCTCTTCAGTCCTGCCATACCCGGACCACATTCAGATCAAGCACTACCCACCTTTCTGTGCAAGGAGTAACAGAAACCTGGAGCCCCCAGCCCAGCTCAGATGCTGTGTCCTCTGGAGCTGCTTTCCTGAGATCAGCCCCGCCACAGTGGTCTCTGCTGCCTCTGAACCCAAGTACCTTTTTCTTCATGGCACTTAGAGCTCTTGCTGGGGCATCTTAGCTTTCTAGCAGGACTGGATGGTTTTTGAGCAAACTATCTCTGGCCATCTTTACAACCTTCCAAAGGCTTGCACGGAGCATCTCATGCCCGTCAGGAACCCTGCCAGTGTTCCTGCAAGGAAGCAGCCAGAGCTGGCCTGCGCAGTCCGCACTCCTGGTGCTCGGGGTGTCACGGATGGGCCTTGTGTGTGTTCTTCACAAAGATCATGCCAGCCCTTGGACTGCAAACACGAAGCTCCTGCGAGGAGGTTCCCTTCATTCTCCACCTGCCCCACAAGGTTGCCCCTCTCCATGGTGTCCCCAGCTGTTCAGCTGGAAAGGAAAACAGACATGGAAAGCCAAGGCCACAGCCACTGTTGCCCTAGAACCACCGTCTGGGGTGGTGCTCAGCAGGACCTGGTTGCTCGGTCACTGAGTCAGGGAACTTCGGGCATAAGCGTTTACTGCCCTGGTTATTTTTAGTGTAGAATTCATAGTGGGCTCTGAGATTGCCCCAGGTCAGAACCCTGGGGTTCCACACTTTAGACTTCCCTGGGGAATAGGACCCTTGTCTTTTGGTTTATTTGTGCTGTTTTACTTTCATTCTTTGTTTTGTTTTGTCTTCATAATTCTAATTAGTGTCTCACAATCCTAATGTTCTGCAGCAGGCAGTGTTGAAAACCTGGAGGGGTATCACAGAGATCCAAGGAGGCACAGCTGACATGCAGTGTGTGCTCGCGAGGGCTAAAACACGGTGTCCTGCAGAGCCGGGGACACTTCTGAGCAGTGAAGAATTAGCCCACATGGTTTTTTCAAGCATTTGGGGATATCTACCCAGGGAATACCTCCCGTGGTAGAATTAGAAGCTTATGATTAGAAAGTCATTGCAGCGGCTAGTTCAGGCCACGGTTCGATGTGGATGGAAGCCCCACCAGAAATACGAACCTATGTTGGATTGTATGACCTTGTACTCCTCGTTGGCCTGTAAAATTCAATGTAAAATAAACTTCAAGAACAAGTAAGAATATTTTGTTTTTAAAAGTTGTATGGAAGCTTACACATTTTTAAAGGATGATTATCTTCAATTCTTTCTAGACCCAAATACTTTATAATATTTTTTCTTTTCCTTTTTTTTTTTGGTTTTGAGAGACTTTTGCTATAGGGTAGGTCTGCTCGCTGTGGAGTCAGAGAGATACAGAGAAACAGAAAGTGAGAAATCACCACCCAGGGGGCATTGCCACACTACCCTTCTCCTCTCAGGATTTTGGACATGCGTGCACATACACCAAGCATGAGTTTTAAGACAGTGGGTCTGGGACTTGAACCACAGTTGACTACATGGGATCCAACGACATAAACATTATGCTATTTGATGGTCCCTGTAATGTTTCTTAATATTCCTTAAATAAAATGCACAAGGAACCTAAATAAAATGCACACCTGCACACACAGTGTCACAAAAGCAGTATAATTCCTCAACTGCAATATACATAAAGTTTGTGTATAATTGAAGGAAAAATTCTTCCCACCCAAGGCAGAGGAGAGTGAAGGGTGAAATGTGAGACCTGGGAATAAAATCTTGATGTACACCTGGCCAGCTTTATTTGCATACGCACCTTCCTATCTAAATAGCAAAAAGTTGTGTAGGACATGCACTGCCCTTGGCAACCTGCCCCACCCATCGGAGGACATTTCGCACTCCTGTGCACACCCACTAAATGCCAAACAATGCCCCAAGAGTCCCCAAACACCCAGAGGCCAGTGCCTCTCCCCCCACGTGGAAAACCATTATTCATCTTCTTACTGAATTTTATCTGAAGCCTATTACTTTTCCAAACTATTAAAAAAGCATGGCCTTGGGCCAACAGATGGTATAGTGGTTATAACACTGGACTTCCACATAGCCAAGTGTGGTTCAAGTCCCAGACCCGGTAGCTTGAAAACCATGCCTGGTACGTGTATATGCACGCCCAAGATCCCAGGAGGAGAATGGAGGGGAAGGGGCTGCAGCATGACCATCTCTCCTGGGGGCGGGGGGATTTCTCACTTTCTCACTGTCTCTCCTTCTCTTTCTCTTTCTCTCTCTCTATAGCTAGCACATGCGCTCTAAGGTAAAAACCTCTTTAAGTGGAACTCTCTGTGCCCAGAAGGTCACCACACATGTCACTTTTTTTTTTTTTTTGGAGAGGTTTTTTTTGCTATAGGGCGCGTGCGCTCACCAGACAGACAGAGAGAGACAGAGAGATAGAAAGCAGGAAATCACCCCCCAGGGGGGATGGCCACGCCGCAATCCCTTCTCCTCCATTCTCCTCTCGGGATCTTGGGCACGCACG